ATGAAAAGCGTAGATTTCATACATCTAAGCGTACCATTATTCAGACGAGTTAAAAAGGGACACGTAGATTTTCTTCAGTTGCTTCCTACATATCACTTTAATGTTTTTCAAACACAATATACTTTGTCGTTAGTTCTTTTATTATCATTCCTTGCAGCGTACAATATTGACATTTTCCTTAATAACAAGAATTTCTGGTTATTTTCAAGACGGACTTAGTCTCCAGCAACTTTCTTTTATCATTACAAGGCAATAACATGACAATGGGAAAAAAGGCAAAAAAGTGATATCATAATACTACGTCTAATTCGATTTAACAGCTGTAAGTCTCCATAGCAACCGAAAAATGCAAATTTTGCAAAACATTGCTTAAATCTTTTATTTGACAAAGGCTATGCTGTGATAGAAAACAATGTTTGTGAACAGGTTTTCGATATATAAAAGTCGGGGTCAAAAATCAATTGATTGATTTATATTTGTTTTCAAATATCAAAGAAAAGTTTTCTTCTGAGTCAGCATTCCTATATTTCAAATCTGTGATTTGTTGAATTCTGCACAAAACACTCATAGTTATATTCAAAGGAATTACCCAAACAGCATGGAAACGTTGAAACTGTTGACGCTTAAAACCGATTCACAACGTAAACAGGAAAAATTCTACGTAACGCCATATCAAAGGCTCCATATTGGATAAGTAAATACAGTTATTGGTAACAAAGTGTTTCAAAATAAAAAAGTCTGATTTTAAGTTGTAATATATTGAATTATGTCCTACCTCCGGCCAAACATGAGATTCGTTCATCCTTGATATATTTTCCGCGTAAGTGAACAGCTCCAATAATTTTCTTTAAACATAGATTTCTTTTAATGTACAGCACCCAGGCCTTTCTTTTCACATTTTGTCCCTATTTATTTGCATGGCTGCCTTGATAATTTAATTAAGACAGCGGCACATTTTAGATATCATTGTTTTGACGTTGATTGGTCTCGTTTCCTACATTCATTCACCTTATTCGAATTCATATTTTTTTAATATAGGACTGGTACAGATCAAAGAGGTTAGTTGTAAAGTTGTGTCATTAAAGATGACGCGATCTGACGGGAACTGTACAACACATATGCAGATTAGCTAATAGGGAAACATAAATGTTTTCGTCATGTTCTCAGTTGGAAATATTAAATACTGGGTATGTAAAAGATTGTACACCCCTTACTATATCTCGTGGTTCCGTTTCTATTAATCAAATAGTTATTTTGGGAACATGACATTATTTAGTCCAAGATTTAAGTAAGATTTTTCGACAGAACAGTAGACACTTGGAACATCTGGTCGTTTTCTCCTTCTTATAACTGTTATCCTTGTATTTCCCTTTTTTCATTATTTGTCTTCGTTCCGTTTTATTGATTTTGAGTTCCAATTGGGTTTTCGTACAGACGTCTTTATGGTTTTAATTAAATGTGAAACAACAACAAAAAAAAACAAAAAACAAAAAAAAACAAAAACAAAAAACAAGAATAAAATCAATAAAAAAAATGAATGAATATTTCTGATTTACGTGAACGTTCGATGCTATTTCATTTTGACGCGCCAGTGATATAATACAAGACATGACTGAAATTGTAATGATCCTGTTCAAGTACGGTGTAAGTTTTTTTCAAAATGCTACAGATGAAGAATGATGAAGAATATGGCTATGGCTTCAAGTCGCCACCATGACCTCGTTGGAAACTATTCCATTGTCTTGAGCAATGTGAATATCAGTTAGTTGTGTTGTCGTCGGGATTGATATACAGGTGTAGAAGAGACGCTTACCCTTTCCGAACACCTGATTAATTTTGTGTTTTTTAAAAGCATCATTTTAAGTATTATTCTATCAATATTTTGACCTCTCTTCCTTCATTCTGATCTTTAATTACTTATTTTTATTGTGTGTCTGTTAGCTCTCAAATGTTGTGTTTTTTTTATGTATTTGCAATCGTAAATGGTGTATCTTAGTCCATTGAATTTTTCTTTTTAACAAAGGAAATTGATTGTTTTATTGAGAAGGAAAGTTTCACTACATTGAGGTTTGGATTCAGAGCACCTAGTCTTTTCGATCAATTCTAATTTTCCCAATTTTCCTCCAATATTTCAGATTTAGGCCCCGTCATTACTTAAAGGACGAAGCAGCTCTATGTTGTAGATTTTATCATTATTTCGCTATGCTGTATCTAACTCTAACTTTATATTAAAGGCCATATTCATGCGTGCCGTTTGTGCAATTCCTGATCTCATCCTTTCTCACGAAAGTTACAAACTTCGCGACCTGTTTTTATAAAGTGAACATATAAGTGGTAAGTGAACTTCTACAGCGTACTTATCTCTAAAACAAACATCAATTCAAGCAGTTGCAGAAAGTCAAGAAATAGAATTAATTAAGTTAATCAATTGCGATTGCTTGAATATCGATTTTTGTTGTAATAACGATTTATTTTGAAGACGTGTCAATTTATAATATCTTAATTATTTGTTAAAATCTAAAATATGACTTTTAATTTGAAAATTATGCAGGAATAACGCAAAAGATAAGATATCTATGTTTTACCGTTTAGAGCTGTTGGAGTTATTCTCAGCACGTGTAAGTGATAACGTCATGAACAAGCTTACTTATTTAGAATTAAATGCTTTACTTGTATATGTATTATTTTAATTTGCTTTTCCTATGAAGGGACCATGAGGTCAACCCTAACACAAGACGCAATATAATCAAAACTCCAAAAATTACAAGTATGGAAAAATGACCTGCCGCATAACAAATCATGATGATGAATAAATGTCTATACCTTTATTGATTAGGAAAAACGTGAGAACTGGAATATATTTAGTCATGTTTAAAATCATTCTGGTGATTTCTTGTATAGTTGTCGCAGTATTTGTATTTATCTTTTTGATATGTAATTTGTATTTGAATTGAGGCTGTGAAATTTTCAAATTCATACACTGTAACTTTTCTAGCTTTTTGCCTATGAATGGTGTCAGAATCGATATAATAGATTATTTGGCCCTTTACTTTTTTCCTGTGGCTTGTGAAGTAATGCATTTTTCGAGTACGAATTTTACATGTGATCTATTTCTGAATTAAGGGTATAAATAAGGTAACTGAGATATTGGGATTAACACATATATCTTTATCTCTTAATCACTCAAACTGGAATAGTATAACTTCTTTGTGTCAGAATTACGACTCTAGACTTCTTTGACCGCAATACTTTATCTTGAATTACAAATGTAGATTATTTATCTCAAAGATTTTCACGATCATTTAAACTCACAAATATTGAATGATGTTTATTTTTTTAAGTATCCATCCATCCATCCATCCATCCACATGCATACATACATACACACAACCACACACACACACACACATGCATACATACACACACACAACCACACACACACATACATACATACATACATACATACATACATACATACATACATACATACATACATACAGAAATACAAAAACAGTATTAATGTCGTCATATCATTTGATTGCCTTGTTATTCAATAAACATACCCCTGTATTATATTGCGTATAACACTTGTAATACATCCTGTTGTGACGTCGGCAGATTTGGAAAGTAAGATGGCGTCACACACGGACGGTATTCTGACGTAACAATGTAGGGCATAAATATGAAAACGAAATGCTGAAATGATCAATCATGTGATCAGACTTGCTCAAAGTTATTTCTTTTCACTCATTCAGTAAATCACGTGTGTAAAGGAAACTGGTATAAAATCCTATATCTATGTTAAATTCGTCCCCTTATACAATTCGCTTACATACAATAATGTCAAATACATTGTACTTTCCTTAATCCAAATACATAGCATATGTTAACCATTATTAAATTTATCTTAAATAGAAAATAATCACTTAATTAGGATACATACACATTCCATTACTAGAGATTTCACATGTATTTCAAGTTGTCCTTTGACATATTAATTTTCATAACACAAACAAACTTCTGCTCGCAATAACTCAATATTTCACATCCACGCACATATGAACACACGAACACACTCAACGGAAGCTCGGCTTACAGTGTACAGCGCAAGCGAGTGTGAGCTTATCCCATCACCTTATAAGATGTGTTAGGCTAATTAGCATGCCTCTAATTGCAAATTTGTACTGATGACGGTTTCATGCTTTGTTTTGGTAATTAGAAACACTTCAAGTGTTAATTGTTTCTAGTTTCCGATGGGAATTAAAACATTTTGTAATAAAAGCACTTTTAAGACATTATCTGTTTTCAAATCAAATATCAAAGCTAATTTTTCGATCCATGAAAAACGAGCGTGTTCTGAATTAATCTAATGACTTGAAATACGTGGTTCCGATAATAGTGCTCAACTTGCTGCGCGTGAATCCCCCAGTGGTATTCAGATCCCAGCGACCTGCAATTATGTTATTAAATGGGATAATTGCAAGAAATCAGAGACAATATTGCAATTTCTCGTTTAGAAGCTCTGTCGCATGGCTGACGAACTCTCTACTGCTTTATCTTATCATCATATTATTGATCCGGGTTCGAAAGTCCGCCTCCTACTTCAGCGGATACATTTGTCAGACACGCCCACTCTTCATTAGAATTCCAATGCTAGATTCGAACCAATCAGACAAAAACTATCCTTTTCGAAATTAACTTATCAAAGATAATTCAATTTTGCTGAGATGTTTTGACTTTGAATAATTTGAATGTTTTTATGTATGAGCTGACATAGGAGAAAGAACCAGGATAGTTTTATTTCGAACTTAGACCCGCCATTGAGCTATCTTACCATCAAAGTAGGCAAGATTATCTACCATGTATACGAAGCTAATGGACAACCGTTACGCGTGAACACTATAAATTTTAGATACAAATAACTATGTCGAAAATTCAAAATAAGAAATATCTGTGTTTATCAAAGTGACTATATCTAAAGACGAAATATAACTCTCATCATGGAAGGTCTGACAGAATTCGTCTCGAAATCATTTAGCGACGACAACGAGGATGTAAACAAGCCATCAAAACAGCCAATGACTACAGCGTCAACAACGATAAAATGTGAGGAAAAAATAGTCGTTGATGACAATCAACAGGAAGCGACTGACCTACGTATTGTACATAAGGAAGAGGATCAATCCAAACCATTGCCTTCATGTGACCCGATACCTAAACTGGACAATCTGGACGTCGTTACGGACGGTTCGGACACAGGTAAGAAACCGTGGTCAATCACATACTTTTCTGTCACTCTTACAGTGTAACCCCGTATTGATAACCCCAATCTTCCACTTAGGGAACTATATGTTTATACATGTTTGGTACAAACTATTGGCGATAATTTTTTTTAATCCGTAAATTCTAAATTGGTGGATATGCAAAATAGTAAACACAGCTTTGATTTGCAAATTTGTATGATATATAAGTTGGTAATATAACTACTTGAAAAAGGTGCAAATAAAACCCCTCAAATATTATATGGTCATTTTGTATATACTTATATACATATACTATTGAAGAACAACATTGTTTGTTATGATGTATACATGTAATTCGTTCTTGAAGTATTATTTCCCCATAACATGGGATCAGGTGTAAGGCTGCAAGAGTTTCTAATGTAATGGTAAATTCAATGGTTATTTCTTGAAATATATAGTTTTCCTTAAACGAATGAAAAACAAAATGCCAGTGCAGGGTGGATTACAAGAATTGTAATAAAATGTTTCATGTTACAATATCAAGGAAAATTTCAATATATTCAATTCCAAAATGAACAATTATTTTCATAAATTACCCAAAATATGCAGAATATGTACACGTTTCATATACAGCGAAGGGGGGGAACAACACTTTAGAGCTGGAACTCAAACATTTACAACAACATGTAAAAGTAACGTTTATTTCTAAATATCTTATAGTCAATTTTTTGTCTACTGCTCGTCTAGTTCAGGTAGTCCTAAGATATCTCATGTGGTAAATGAAATTTTAGGAAAACTGAAAGCTTCAGCATTTAACAAATCAGAAAAACAAGCTAAGTTACATGAACATGTATTTGTTGAAAAATGTTAAAACTTTATTGTATTCTACGTTCATCTGATATCCTGATTATCATTGCTCTGCTCATGTTTTTCTCTGTGTTACATCGCAGTGAAAACGTGTACGTTTTCAAAATTACCTCACTCAAAACAAACACAAAAACAAAACATCCTATCTGGTTGTAAACTACGAATACATATCCAATATACTTGCTTACATTTAAAACTTTGTTCCGAGATGTCCGTTTTTCATTTTCGTCCGTATATACTGCTTTTGCAATGTCAAACAAGACAAACTGGGATTTGAAATTCCTAATATTACATCATATTTACAATGTTTCATTGTGGTTCACAACTTTGTTTTTTATTTCATATTTCCTATTTTCTGACAAGATGTTTTATTTCTGTCAGTCATAATTTTCCAAATTATCAAAATACAACTATTCAAAATTACAAAATAAATAATCAAAAAAATAAAACTTTAAAACTACTTGATCAAGTGGCGCCGTATAACGATTTAAAGAAGATGTGATTTTTATTTATTTATTCGGACTTTTTAAATATATATTTAGCTTCATCTTGGTCATATTGTTATAAAAATATATGTACCATAAAATGGACAGATGCAGTATTAGAGTGTGTAATTAAAAAAAATGTTACCTATAAATTCATTGGATCAAGAGGATTTATCAAACGACACTGGTGATACAGCCTTATCTCTGTCGTCAGATCCATGTTATATAATAAACATACAAACAAGACAAAAAAAAACAACCAACGTATAAAAAATAATATCTGTTGAAAACAGAGACAAGTTTCAGAGCTGAGACAGAATTATTAGATGATTATGTACAAAATCTGCTAACGTTTGTGTCGAGCAAAATACAACTTCTACAGTTACAACTGTAAATTTGTGTGCTACCTTTCGATTGGAAAATCAAACGTACACACAAAAACGTGAGCAATGCGACCTTGAAAGCAGATCACATTCCGTCTGGTTTAAAAACAGTAACAGAAAAAAATATCTCAGTGTATTTCGTATTGGTAAGATCAATTTTTGACATTAATTAACAATCATATTTCATTAAATATACCTTACATGCAATATATGTAATATGCAAACTGTCTGTCTTTTAGTTAAAGTGTCTCAAGAGTTTCTGTTGTCTGTCCTTTAGTTAAAGTGTCTCCTGGTTTCTGTTGTCTGTCCTTTAGTTAAAGTGTCTCATGAGTTTCTGTTGTCTGTCCTTTAGTTAAAGTGTCTCATGAGTTTCTGTTGTCTGTCCTTTCATTAAAGTGTCTCATGAGTCTCTGTTGTCTTTCCTTTAGTTAAAGTGTCTCCTGAGTTTCTGTTGTCTGCCCTTTAGTTAAAGTGTCTCTTGAGTTTCTGTTGTCTGTCCTTTTATTTCATGTCTCCTGGTTTCTGTTGTCTGTCCTTTAGTTAAAGTGTCTCCTGGTTTCTGTTGTCTGTCATTTAGTTAAAGCGTCTCATGAGTTTCTGTTGTCTGTCCTTTAGTTGAAGTGTCTCCTGGTTTCTGTTGTCTGTCCTTTAGTTCAAGTGTCTCCTGAGTTTCTGTTGTCTGTCCTTTAGTTAAAGTGTCTCCTGAGATTCTGTTGTCTGTCCTTTAGTGAAAGCGTCTCATGAGTTTGTGTTGTCTGTCCTTTAGTTAAAGTGTCTCCTGAGTTTCTGTTGTCTGTCCTTCGATTAGCGTGTCTCCTGAGTTTCTATTGTCTGTCCTTTTATCTAATGTCTCCTGGTTTCTGTTGCCTGCCCTTTGGTCTGCATTGGTGTCCTTACACTTGGTAAAGGTATTCAGAGTTCGTGTTTGTAATCTTGTATATTCATTATCATTTGGGTAATTTTTGTTCCTCTGATCTTTCGTTTTGCTTTATCTTCCCTAGTCTTAATATTCTCCATTTGTTTTGTCGCTACATAGGTTAATCTATGATAGTACCCACTTCGAGCTGTTACATTTACTTTTAAGTGTTTTGTGGTTAATGTTGCCTTCCTATTTGTTTTGCTGTCAGTGGCGTAGCAAATGTATTTTAGGGTTGTATGCTTTCAAGAGAGGGCCATGGTCGAAGCCCTGGTAGGTGACCTGAGGCCGAAGTAAACTAAAAACAAGAGTAAAAAGAATATCTCGATGGAATTAGATTATATACTCAAGCATACAAACATACGTTATTACTACGTCACGGTCTGTATCCTTGATTTATTTCAGTTGGTTTGGCCGGTTTTTATATTGTTTCCGTGTTAAGGATTTTCGCTTTTGTAGTGTCGTGTTTTCTTTGTGTTATATTTTTATGTCCTGTTGTTGCCATTCTATTTCAGTTGTGGTTTAATGATCGTGATGTTCTTTGTCTATATACGCTTACCATCAAAGCTAACAACCGTTGTTGATTACCAACCAGAATATCTTTTAGACAGTTTGTGAATATTAAATTTTTACACTTAATATAAAACTTATGAATAGCGTCAATTGCCTATCTAATATCAAACAATCACTTTGTTTACAGTATGTATATTTACATATTTATTTGTCTATTAATGTACAATTAATTATATTATCTTAATACACATAATTACGGGTTAATATTTGTGTAATCCCCCTTGTGACTATATGTAGGATCGTACTGTATATACATGATATTCACGTGCATGTTAACGAGTATTTACGAGTTAGTTTTTAAGATCTTCCCGTGCGTGTTTACGAGTATTACATGTAACGGGTAATTATTTATATGATCTACACGTACTTACAAATTGGTCCGTATATATAAGACCTGCACGTGCTTGTTAACGTGTACGTACAAATTGGTACTTATATATGAGACCTGCGCGTGCGTGTTAACGGGTACTTACTATTTAGTATTCATATTATCTACACGTGCCTGCTAAAAATAACATTATCCAGACATGTTCTAAAAGGTTAATTTCTTTATTATTTCTGCGAAAGGTATGTAAGTTATGTGATCAATATAATCAATATCTTATATCCGTTGTTATGCAGTGTAAGATTTATGAAATTCGTGTTTTTACCTCTCTAGTTGCTCGGTGAAGTAAAATATTTCATATTTAATCAAATCTCTTGTGAATGGAGATTGATGTAATATAGAACCCGAGACATGTATACATGTATATACACGAAAGAATGTTTAGTATATATATATATATATATATATATATATATATATATATATATATATATATATATCCAGACATTCATCGGTCTACCGATTAATCTTCATCTTTATTACAGGTTTTTCTATTTCTTCTTCATCTTGTTTGCATCTCACAAACTCAGTGTTGTTCTTTTTTCAATTAAACATATACCGAACGGTTGTTTACAGGAAGACTTACTGTGGCTACGGGGACTGTGGTTTAGTAAAGACAATTTTTGAGCGTGTTTTACACATGTACATCACTAAAGTTAAGTGCTAGCATATCAATCCTTACGCCAGACAATTACAGGGTATTACTTTTAACAAATGTACGCCCCATTTTATGTCGATCAAGTCTCCTTTCCTTGGTGTCAACAATCCTAGATGTTTATATAGTTTTTATCTCCGTGTTATCGCCGTAGTGGTTATTTAGATTAAGATGAGGCGACGGTTTTCTGATCGAAATGGTCGTTACATTTCTTTGTGTACACAGCATAAATCAATGAAGGAAACGCTTGTGTACTATGGTCAGTGTAACTTGTGTGTATCGAGTTAATAACAGGGACATAGCGATGTTGTATGTTTTATTAATTAGGGAACAAAAATCCTTGAAAGCTGAATTTTAAGATAAAACTGTTGACCACAATGTCAAGGAAATATCACAGTTCCCATTTTTACCTAAGTGAACATTTTTATAAATTTGCAATAAAAAATTGAATTTATATGTAATTTGGAAATATCTTATATAATTGTTTGGACAAAAATAAGAATAAAAAAGAATGAAATTAACTAAACACTTGTTCACCTTAATACATTTTTTTAAAAGTTTTGATATCTTTATATACGTTGTTAAGGTCAAACGAACATTCCTGTTATCGCCTGCTTTATTCACCAGCCTGGTTACCGACAAATAGGCTACTACATACTACATACGGGCTTGATCCCCACGACCCGAGAACCACTTGGCGCCCAACTTTTGTGCCCATAATGGGTGGTCATTGTGTTAATATATACATGTTA